CCTACCAATTTCTGTGAGCACTTCCCCTCGCCCTGCCTAGTACTGGAGGCCCTGGGGGCCCTGGAGGCTCCCGAGCAGGTGTCCTCAGAGAGCCTTTTGCTCTTCCTCTTGCCAGGCCTGCAGCCTGCCTCTGCCCAGGCAATGGATCCGAGGCACACATGGGACAGCCTTGCCTGGCCTCTTGATCTCTCCAGGGAGAGGGAGACGGGTCCAGAGCTGGGGGTCTGGTGAGGCCTGCCCCATTGGCCCCCAGAGTCCTTTGCGCTCTCTCTGCCGAGGCTTAGGGTTTTGCTCTTCCCTCTAACTTCCCCCCTTTGTCTCCCTTCCGCCTTCTCCCCCACCCTCCTCTCTCCCCATTCTCTTCCTCTGATGATGATGTCATGTGTGATTGCTGCCCAGCAGCAGCCAGAGGACAGACTAGACGGTGACATTCAGGGTGAAGACGCCAGGTGGGRATGGGTCCAACGGCTTATGAGATGGTGTCACTAAGATGTTGCGATCTTAATTTTTATAATGAGTTACAGCGATCTCATGTAAAAGAAAGCTGTGGAGGATAAAAATAAGTCAGGCCCATAAATAAACGTGGAATTTGGAATTGTCGGAACAAATAACTGTCGCTCTCTTCTCCAGCACCTGTGCCTTTATTTTCAGCTGGCCACTGGGGGGAGCCCACTGCTTCCTGGTCACCCGGCCTCCCCCATTTTCACCTTCCTTCATTTACCAGGCTGAGCAGAGCCGGACAGCATTCCCCCTTCCCACCTTCTGCTTTCCCTCATTGTAATGTTCAGTTTCGCCAGTCCCCAGCATCTTCCCTTGACTCTGATTCAAGATTCAAGAATTAAGCTGGGCATGATGGCATAAGCCTGTAATCCCTGCAATAAGGAGGCCGAGGCAGGAGGATTGCAAGTTTAAAGCCAGCCTCAGCAATTTAGTGAGGCTCTAATCACCTTATCGAGACTTGTCTCAAAATAGAACATGAAAAGAACTGAGGATGTGGCTCAGTGGTTAAGTACCCCTGGGTTCAATAAAAAAAAAAAAAAAAAAATTAGAGTAGGCCTTGATGGTTAAAGGGCTTTGGAGAGAAGGGAGACCTGCAGCCTCCATACCTCCCTGGCTCCCCTAATCTGCATTAATCTGCATCCCTTGGTGGGGGGCTTCATTCCCATACCAACTCCCCCAGCACACTCCAGTTCTGCTTCCCTCACCCTAGAGTTCCCTGGCTCAGGGTCCTTCAGCCCCCATATCCCTCCCAGTAGAACTTGCCCTGGTCCCCCAGCAGGGCCCCACCACTAAACAGAAAGTATCGATTGGCCCAGGGCCGCCAGCCTGCAGCCTGCTGCTTGCTATATTGGAATCGATCTTCCTGGCGTTTCCTGGGCTGCTCAGTCTCGGGAGGGTTAGGGCTGCTTGAGAACTTGTGGTGGCTGGAACAGGCTCAGGGGTAATCGGGAGGTCATCCTGCCAGGACCCATACACCACAGGTCAGGAATGTCTTTCATTGACAACAATGTCCTTGCTTCTCCATTCTCTTCCACTGAACTTCCCACTCAGTGTGTGGGACAGGATTTGGAGTTAACATCCCCATTTCACAGATTAAGATCTGGGGCTCCCTAGGGGAGATTTGCTGACTGAGTGGATAACTAAATGAGTGGCTAGCCCGGGGTGGCTGGAGGACCAGGTGACTAAACCCAGGTGCCTCTCTGGCAGGGCTTTTTTCTCCCAGTGCTCTGACTTGAGGTGCTTGGGAGGCCCCAGGAGATGAAGTCATGTCTGAGTTTTCAGGGTTGCCTGGAGGCCGGCAGTGGAACCTCTCTCCTAAGGGCAACCAGATGGCTCCCCCACCAGGAGCCCCGCTGGTCCTCCCAGCTCCACTGGGCCCTGCAGAAAGAAGTTGAGTGTGTACGGGGAGGGGAGCCAGGACAACTCAGGTACTCAGATGCTCCAGCTTCTTTTTGTTAAATAAAGCCAAGAATCTCAAAAGTTCTTAAATTGATTCTAAAGCATTTCAAACCAAAGTCCCTCCTTGCTGCTGCCCCTTGGAGTTAGCAGGTTGTCTCTCCAGCTCCCTCCCCATCTCCCACCCCCCAGAGTCTGCACTGTCCTCTCAATGCCAGGGGTGGGYGAGCCCTGGCCTCTAGAGGTGGTGAGACTCATCCTGCTCCCGTCTCAGTTCAGGCCTGCTCAGCGTATCCCTCCCCACTACCCAGCCCTTCCCCAGGAAGATGAGACTGTGGTCACAAAGCACAGCCTGGGGCTCCCACTCTGCCCCCTCTCTGCCTGCTCTGGGATCACTCTGCCATCATCTGCCTGGAAGAGCCAGATGAGTCTTGGGGGTCCCCCAYAGTCACTGCACGTCTCAGACAGATACTCTGCTTGCCCACTCCAGACGTGTCCCCCAAGATCCCCCCAGGAGGTAGAGAAGGRAGGGCATGAAGGAGGACAGGGAGGAGATAAAGGTCTCTTCTGGGGCCGGGAGGCTAGCAGCTAGAAGAGGGAATTTAGAAACCTGTAGCCGCAGCTATGTATGTTCAGAACCCAAGGAGGGCAGAGGAACAAGGCTGGCTGTCACAAGGGGAGGTGTCTTGGCTCGGGCAGGGCTAGGGCTGAACTCTAGAACGGGTTCCAGCAAGGCCATGGGCAGAATGTCCAAGGCCGGGCAAAGAGAGTGCTCTGGAGYGTCCAGTGTCTAGGAGCCTTGGCTGAGGAGGGTCTCCTGCTGAACAGTACCCAAATGGGGCTCCAGATCTCCAGCTGAGAATGAGGGTGAAGGAAGGAAAGGGAGGTCAGTCATGGGACTGGGCTCTCAGGAAGATGGCCCCAATATCTCCAGCCTCACCCAGTCAGCTGCCATCTTCCCTGATCTCTTCCATATCAGGGAACCATTGGCATTGTATTAACTCAATATAGTTTTTGTTAACTCACTTTAAACTTAAATGCATTTACTTAGAGGAAACGTTATCTCACTGCGATCACAAAGGAGCAGTATCTATGAAACCAGTAGATGGACCTTCTCATTGGGATTTTTTCCCTCATCCTTATAAAATAAAGGTACAATTATTAAAATATAAAGCAATGTTCCTCTCAAAGTCATCTCTGTACCTGGACCTCACTAGGGGAGCACAGCAGGGGACAGTGATTGTGGTGTGACGGATGAAGGATCCCTTAGGAAGGSAGGGGGTGACCCTGATGCCTAGCATCTGGGAGACTGGCAGATAAGCAAGGAAGCCCACCCTGCTCAGGGCCATGCACCCTCAATACAACTGTCATCTGCAAAGGGAAGTGTGGCGTGCCAACCTAAGACACTGGTATCAAATTTGGCCTCTACCACTCACGGTGGCTTTGGGCTTGTCACCAGACCTCTGAGTCTCTATAGCCATCTCTGAAATGACCACAGTAACACCCACCTAACGAGGGAGATAGGGGCTCTTGGGCCATGATAATGGTGGGGAGGCCCTGGTAGGCTGCGGATCTCCGTGCCGGCAGGAGATGCTCTTCCCATGGTTTTGGTGGGAGTTTCTGGATCCTTTCAGGCTGTGAGCTCCAGATGTACATGCTTTAGCCACAGCCAGGGGAGGAGTGTGTATGTCTGACTCAGTGGCCTGGGTGGCTTTTCTTAAAATGCAGCTAAATCCCCCTTTTCCTCCTGTGGTTGGCAGAGGGTAACCGAGGCTTGGCCGCAGGCCTGATGAACACTGGATGCATGGAGGGAGGCGGGGCACTGGTGAATCTGGCCCAGTTCCAGAATTCCCAGCCTCAGCCCTTTTTGCCCTAGTTGGCACTTAGAGAAGTCCCCCTACCCCAATCAGGCAGTGTGGGGATATGAGTGCAGGCCTGCAGGGCCTGAGACCCTAGTCCTAGGCTACACTTGGAAGGGGTGCTGCTTTAGGGTGGTGGGTTGCGGGGACAGGTGGGTGCTGGGGAGGTTGCTTATTTCCCARTGGGGATGATTTCTGGGAGAGAGGAAGGGCAGAACTCTGTTGTATGCCCAGGAATATGGCTGAGTGTGGGGTGGGGACAACCTCTGGAACCTCTAGCCATGGGTCATGTGAGCTCAAGGGTAGGGAACAGCAGGGCAGGAGAGGCCAGGAGCTCAGGGCTGGTGGGCATCTGGGAAGGGATTCAGAGTTCTGCGTGGGACCTCAACCCCCGGCCTTCTCTTTGTTTCTTGCTTCTGTACTGTCCTTTGTCCCCTGTGCGTCTCTTATGGGTCTTGAGGTTGTGTGTGTGTTGGGAGGAGAGACTGAAAAAGTGGTGGGGTAGGGGCTTGAGCTGTTCTGTCTGCTTTCTTTTTTCTTTAAGTTTGTCCCAAATCCATCTCTCGCTGTTCTCTCTGTGCCAGCCTCTCCTGTCTGTCTATCTGTTTGTCTCTGGGAAGGGAGGGAAATGGGGGTCCCTCTGTCCCAGACCTTGGGCYTCCAGCCCCTTGGAAGCTCTCACTCCCCAATGTATCCCAGTCCTGGCCATTTTTCCAGGCAGCCCCCAACCTTGAGGATACTCTGTCCTGGATATGCAGGTCTGAAGGAGAAGGCTAGAGCCTCCAGCCTCTCCTTAGAGGACGCTCTAGAAAGGTGCACTGCGCAGGCTCCRTTTTACATCTTTCAGGAGCATAGAAAAGCCACCTCCTCCTTTTCCTGCTCCTGTGTACACCAGTTTTAGAAAGGGGAAGGGGTGTGTGACCAGAAAGGTGTCCCACCTTTTGCCCCCACTCCTCATGCCTTGGTCTCAACGACAGCACCTCCCACTGTCCTTATCGCCCCAGCCTCAGGAGGAGGAACACTTCCTGGCCTTGCTCCCCACCCACACCTCCCTAAGTGAACTTTCCACCCGGTCTATCCTCCTTAGTACCCCACGGGGGACCGGCAACTCTGAACGCACCCCAGAAGCCCTTCTGCCCCTAAGCTTAGGCCGGCTGCGACCCGCCCCGCAGGGACCCCCGGTGGGGGTGGCAGCCCCAGGCCAGGCACGCCGTGACCCCGCTGCGCCCCTCTCCCCTCTCGCAGATCCGGAGCGGAGCAGCCCCCCCATGCTGTCTGCGGACGATGCCGAGTACCCGCGGGAGTACCGGACCCTGGGGGGAGGGGGCGGCGGGGGCGGCGGGGGCCGGCGCTTCTCCAACGTGGGGCTGGTGCACACGTCGGAGCGGCGGCACACGGTGATCGCCGCCCAGAGCCTGGAGGCTCTCAGCGGGCTCCAGAAGGCGGACGCCGATCGCAAGCGTGATGCCTTCATGGACCACCTGAAGAGCAAGTACCCCCAGCACGCCCTGGCCCTCCGAGGCCAGCAGGACAGGATGCGCGAGCAGGTGAGTGGGAGCCCTGCTGCGGGCTGGGGCGGCGGCGGGCGGGGAGGGAGGACCGGTGCTGGTGCTCCCGTGCCCCAGGCTCAATCCAAATGAGAGGCGTCTGGGGCAGATGGGAGGCGGGAGGGCAGAGCTGGGGAACTGTCTTCCCAGGGCAGTGGCCCTGGCTGGCCTTTTCTGGAGCCTGGGGAAGCGGATTGGGGGCTCGGCTGTCGTGGCATTTGGAGCACYGATGGAGTAGAGAGAACCCAGCCTTTTTACCTCAGGCTGTTTGGGCAGAAGGGCAGGAAGGTGTGCCTTGGAGGTGGAGCAGTGGCTGGGAGGAAGGGAAGGGACAGCCATGGGGACTGAGGCTTCTGAGCCCAAGGGTCTGCCCAGTGGTGGAGTTGGAATGTTTGGCTTTGGCACCCCCAGTGGGCCCTAAGAGGTGGGGTCTGTGAATTCTCAGCTGGGTGGATCTGATGTGTCCACACTCCCTTCAAGAGTAGAGCCCCAACTGGGGTCTTTTACCTCTTCCTCCCGGATTCATCCCAAGACTCACTGAGTGATTCTGAGCTGGAGGTCTCTCTCTGTGTTGCTTTGTTTGTTTCCTGCTTACAGAGGGAGTTGGGGCCTTTGCCTCTGCCTCTGGACTGGACGTTTTCTTTCCATTTGGGGAGGGGCGCATGCATGCTAGGCCAGGGCTCCATCACCAAGCCCCAGGCCCAACGCTTCCCTTTTCAACCTTCCCCCAATCCTTGGGTTCCCGACTGCACCCCTCCACCAAGCATGAGCTTCTGATCTGTAAGAAAGTTCTTTCTTGGGACTAGTATTCTGCTTTCAGTTCTGAAGTTGTGGGGTGCCTTAATGATTGCTGCACATTAACTGCTGAGCCTCAGGTATTGTCCTCTCTGGGACATCAAATTAGAATCCTTTCAGTTAATACTTGGGGAGTGTTGCTCTGTCTTGCTATGTCTCCCTTATCCAGGTAGTACTGGGTGTGGCTGGGGAGAATCGTCTCTGTCCCTACCCCCACTGCAGGGAACAAGGACACATTGGCACATTTCTGGTACCCTGTTTGCCCCCCTGAGGTCACCTCTAGTTCTGTCTGGCTTTTGCCTTCGCCCAGCTCCAGAGTCCTCCTGGGAGCAGGGTCAGGTTGGGATAAAGAAGAGCTACAGATGAGCATCTGGCCCTCCGTGGTTGCCCTGTGTGCTCTAGCTTGGTGGGAACAGGGGCATTTGATGACAAATGGGGGGAAAGGGGAGGAAGGATGGTTAAACTTTGTATGAGGGACACAGTCCGTTTGGAGAGGGTTCAGAGGAGGGGACATCAGGTGGGCAGACCTGATCAGGGAAGGCTTCCAGGAGGAAAAGCTGCTTGGAAGGATGAAAGGGTTTGAGGAGAGGAAGAGAATGCTGTCCTTGGAGGTGCGGGGGTGGGGGGCAGAGGCATGAGCATATACCAGAGGTGGTTTGGGGAGTGGCGCAGATTTCCCCTTGGCTGGTGCCAGAGGCTCAGGGGGTTGGGGAGCTGCGAGATATACATACGATGGAAGGCTGGGAATTGGGACCAGAGAGCGTGGTGTCATGCTTGTTTTGGAATGGTGACTAGGAGGGCCCCTAGGGGGCTGGAGGCAAGGGAAGGAGAAGAGGAGGAGTATACCTGGAAGGATGAAAAGAAGGGGTGGCGATGGGAGGGGAGACTAAGCATATGTTGTTTGCTGCCTGGATCTAGGAGGCCATGATGGGAAAAAATGGGGTGACAGAGAGATGTTGGTGCCTTGGAGAGATCAGGAGGGTGGGGAGGAAATGTCTGGGGGGGAGGAATATAAGAGGAGTTGAGGAGTGGGTGGGGCCTTCAGGGGGGATGCYTCCAACTTCAGAGCAACCACAGCTTCAGGAGAGACTTGTGAAGTAGGTCCTGGGACATAAGAGGGCCATCAAGGCAGAGAGAAGAGAGCTTGTGATAGTCAGGGAAGGGTACCAGGAAACTTCTGCATCCATGAGGAAGAAAAGGAAGGCCCTAGGGAGCAGGTGCTGGAAGAGGACCTGAACTTCAGAAGTCCAGATGAGTGAGTGGGGAGCAGCCAGGAGTTATGGGCCCRGAGGGGGCTAAGGGCTCATTTCTCTTGGCCTAGTGACGTAATGGCCAATTTCAGGGGTTAAGGAGATCGGAGATGGTGAGGAACCAGAGCCCTGACCACGGACCTTCTGGGAAGGTTTAGTTGGAAAAAGATGAAACTATCCTGGTGGTAGCTTCCAGGGGTGGCAGGCCTGGGAGATAGGAGGTGGCCATGTTTAGGGGCCTCATAGGCAGCTGGCATGTTCACAGGGAGTGAATCCAAGCACAACCACTCTCTGAACGTCCATTCCYTCCCTCAGAGTCTAAGTGGCCAATTCGCTTGTCACAGGGTGCTGGGGGCCTAAGCATGACGCTGGCTCAGTGGCCCTCAGGGGAAGGGAGGTCTGAAGCTGAAGATGCTGAGGCCCAGAGGGTTGTGAGGATGGGTCCCCKAGGAATCAGGTCTGGTGGCCTTGGGGTAGGAGAGGAAGTCACTTCCACTGAGTTAACAGGGAAAGGAGATGTGCTGTCRGGGCAGAGACAAGTGGGGTGAAGTCGGTCCTACTCAGTGTCCCCATGTCTGTGAGGTCTGAGGTGGCATCCTCAGGAGGAGGGAGAGGCCAGGAGCAACTCCCTGTGGAATATGTGGCAGGCAGGCACTGGGAGGAAGTCAGGAAGGACACAGGGATTTAGTTCAGGAATATCCAGTAGGGAAGCCCCTGCTCTGGGCTCAGGGAACCCTCCTCCCCACAGGAGAGACAAACATCCAGAAATGGCCCCGGGTACTAGTTAGAGATGCAGCTGATGTAAGAGACCCTCCATTCCTCTGTGGTGTGACCTCTGTGCCCCAAGGCTTGCCCCAGCCATGCCCTTCCCTGCCCTGTCACAGCCCCAGCGGCTCCTGCCCGCTCCCCCTAATGGGGTGTCCCCCGCTTCACACACACAGGTTGGCGGCTGGACCGTGGACCCTGTGTGCCTCCTCAGCTCCCTCTGCTCCCACCTCCATGGCGACTCCGCCCCCTCCGGGGCTGGCCAGCCTGCCCAGGTGAGTCACCCACCGCCACCACCACCCAAACCCATGGCAGAGCTTGGCTTTGGGGAGGAATTTTTTCTTTTGGAGGGGGGATATCCAGAATTTTAATTTTGCAATCCTTTCTCTTTTATGTAGGACCCCCCATTTGGGGGAGACATCTATGGCCTGTACCTGCAACTCCCCTGGTTATCTAATTTCCTACAATGACCTCCCCAAACTAGCAGGTTTSGAGGAAGGAGCTTTTTGAGGGACCATGCTCAGGACTAACACACACACACACTTCTACATTCTTTCTCCTTTAAACAGGAGAATCCCATATCCCATCTTGCTCCTTGCGTTTCCAGAGGTCTCTTATTCTCCACCCCCCTCAGGAGATCATCTTATTCCCTTATCCACACCCCACTCTTCCATTTCTGAGCACCACCAACCTTCCTCTGATGATCTACCATCAGGAAGTGCTACAGGATRTCTCTCTCCCACCCTCCTTTCTATGCTCAAGGCCTAATCTCAAGTTTTTAAGAACACCTGGGCATCTTGCCATTGGTTCTGTCCTTGTTCCCAGGTTTCTCATCAAGTCTCAGTTTCCCTGATGGAACACACTTAGGACACTAGGGCTGGGCTCCAGCTCAAGCCTGGACACTGACATGGGAGATATCTGAGGCCCAAGGGGGCACGAAGGACCAGGGAGTCAGTTGCAATAGGGAGGGGACTGCCCAGGAGGGGCTGGGCTTGAGGATGTTCAGCTTGGGAAGCTGAGGAGGGATAGTGGTCGCAGATCCAGTGGAGGGAAGGTGTACCAGTTCCTCACACAGCCATGCCTCATGGAGAAGAGCAACGGGGCTTGAAAGTTAAATGAAAGGAAATTGTGATCACATAGGACACAAAYCTCCAGAGCATGGCCGTCTGAGCTGAGCTAACTCCATCTAGCAACAGATTGGTGCTTGGCGTCACTCAGGGCACTCTGCCCACTTCCTTTCAGGTTCTCTGTCCCATCTTGGCTGAACTTTGGGGAACAGAGATGTGTCTGCTCCCAACGCTAGACAGCAAGTGAGAGACTTGTCCTGAGTGACCAAGTGTGTGGTGGAGGCCAAATGGGGCTTAGAAGAGATGATGATGGGGCAGAGGACAGGTGTGACATGCACAGGCAGGTTCTGGGTGTCTGTCCCCCTCCCCAAGAGGTCCCCTGATGGAGCATCTTGGGCTGTGATAAGGCTAGGATGAAGGACAGGAGTGAGGCTGGACTTGGTAAGCTCAGTTGTCTCAGGTGGTGGAGTTCTAGTCTGTCCACATCTGGAATCTGCTCTTGTGGAGAAAGGAGAGCTTGAGGGGACCTTTGCCCCCAGGGCTTTGTAATTACCTGAGAAAGTGGCTGTGCACAAGATCTTGTAATCACTTGATACTTAGAATTCATCACACCCCTTATCCCCCAGAACTGAGTCTAAGGGTTGTTTTTTTTTTTTTTTTTTCTAAAGTGCAGGAACAGAGACATTCAGCAGAGGACCAGAGTCACACAGCAGGGCAAGATCCATCAGAGGCCAACAAGGAAATTTAGGCGTCACAGGCCTTCCAGACTGGCTAGGGATTAAATCATAGGAGAATTAAAARGGCAAAGTGCACAGCTGAGACCCTGGTGAGGGGAGGCTGTGGGCTGGAAGGCGGCGGTAGGTCAGACCTTTAGGGGTGGACACAGTGAAGAGGACCGCGGGAAGCAACTAGAGGTTAGACCAAGCCACAGCCCCTCCCCCCGCTTCCACTAGGCTGTCTAACCTCCCTTCCTCTTGCTGCAACCCGAGTCCCGGGCGGCGGACCGGCGTATCGGGTGACCGCGGCGACGCAGCCACCAGCCTCCGCCGCTCCGCGGCGGGGCTGCGCCGGCGGGGCCGCGCCAGGGGAGGGGGCCGAGAGAGGGGATGTGCACGGCGGCGCGCCGCGCCGCGCCAGGTGGAGTCGCGGTTACCGGGGCGACCAGGGCCCGGGCCGGCTCGGCGGCGGCGGCTCTCGCATTGCAGCAAAGGGCACCGGCGGCGGCGGCGGCGGCAGCTGCGGAGGCGGCCGGGGGAGGGGAGAGCCCAGGCGGGTGGGAGTAGGGGGCGGCCCTCCTTCCCCCGCCCTACGCGGGATCCGGGGCTGGGGCCCGCGCATACACCTGTAGCCACAGGTAAGGGGGAGCGGCTGTGGGGCCGGGGTCGCAGCCTTGGGTTCGTCAGGGGGCGGGGACACGGAGATGGGGGTCCCGCTCTGCGGCACTCAGGGATGATCCCGGGCTGGGGAGCGCGCAGCCTTTGCGGGTTCCCAGTCTCTGAGAAACGCCCCCTCCCTTCCCCCACCGCATTAGGTGCCCTCCGCGCGGGACGGCCCCCACCCCTAAATGCGGCAGGCACCCCCTCCCCCAACCTTGGAAAGTCATGACCTTCGCGGGGTGCGCCCTCGCCCCCGGCGGCGCGGCGGATCCCGCAGCACCCCCCTCCACGCGCGCACTCCCCGTCGGGCCGGGGTAGGTGTGGGCGGCGATCCGCACACCTGGGGGCAGGGTGCCTGCGCGTGGCTGGGGGAGCTGGCGCCCGCTGGGGCGCGTTGCGTCGCCCCAGGCTGGGGGCGGGTGTTTACGTGGACCTGGGTTCAAGGGAGTTGAGAGGTGGGTGTGTGCGCCGTGCACGCCGCCGAGTCAGGGGGTTAAGGGGCTGGGGGTGCCGACCCGTTGACTGGCCTTCCTGGGGGAGGCTGCGTCGTAGCGGCTTGAGGTCAAGGAGGTTCATGCACTCACCTAACCTACAGGGGACTTGGGCCCAGGGGATGGTGGGGGATTTCAGCTGGCTGAGCTAAGCCTCCCAAGAGGCTTGACCCGCCCCTGCCACAGGGCCTGGGTTGGGGAGAGGGAATGGCCAGCTCCCCTGCACCAGCCGCTAAGGAGTGGGAGTGGGAGAGGGAGAGGCTTTAACCCTCAGCTCCAGGCGGGCACAAGCTGTTTTCTCTGCTCACCAAAGAGTTGGTTTGCTCCCCTAGGTCTCTGGAGAGCCCCTTTCCCTATTTCTGAAAGCCTTGTCCCAAGGGATGCTGGGTTTCCTTCTTAACCTCTTAGAACCCCTCTTATTTTGCCCCAACTCCTGCAAGATCCTTCCTGCCAGTGGTTGCCCCTGGCSGGGTCTCTCCTTCACAGCCCTTTCTTCATTTGCCTTCTCACTGCCTTCTGGGAAGTCCAGACCCCTCCTGGAGAGTGTGGAGGGAGGTCATTCTGCCTTAGTATTAAGGTTTGTGCTAGGGGTGGGGAGCTGGACCTCTGGGCCTTTCCTGTCCTCTGCCCTCTTTCCCAGGGGGCTTTCTGGTCCTGGGAAATTCCCAGGGAATAGGCCCAGAAGGCTGAGCAGCTGGGTGCCAGGAGATGGAGGGAGTGGGGCCTGACCAAAGTATTCGAAGCCACTCCTCCTCGTGGGCTGGTCCTATTTTGTTGGCTTTTATTCTCTGTCACCTATTTGTTGAGGGCCTGCTACAAGCTGGGCACTTTTTGGCACAGCAGGAGGGAATAGACAACAGGGGAAAGGGGGCTGGAGTTGGGTGGAGAGTGACTGACTGGGAGTGTGCCCCTTGGAGAAAAGGGAAGGAGCCTCTGCTCACCCCAGGCTGCCCCTGGGTCAAACCCTGGAGGAGACAGAGGATGGGCTGTCTCCTCAGGCCTCTTCCCACTGCAGTTTCCCCCTCGGAACACAGTGAATTACCAGGAAACCAGAGGCCTCAGTTCTGGGAGCTCAATATGGAAGAGGATCATTCTTCCCTACTTTTCAGAGGGCGAAGAAGCAGGATTCACTTCAAAGAGGCTCTAACAGCTCAGATCCAGAAGCCCCAGGATTCTGATCATAGTATCACTCAGATACCCAAGTTGTTCCCCAGGCACAAATGTGGCTCCTCTTCCGTGTGTACCCTTTCCTGGGGACTGGCTGACCTTTCCTGTGGCACTGATGCCACCACCCTATCCTCTCCTTTGGGCCATGCTTATGATCCATTCCTTCTAGAAGACTGCCCCATGGATGTGCCAGTCTTGGGACCCTGGGGCAGGCCCACATTGAGGGCATAGCCAGTGTGGCTGTAGCCAGGCCCTGCCCCATCTCCCTCTCAGGGATACAAAGTGGGTCCCAGTCATCTTCATAAGGTACCCTGAGTCCAATGCTCAGACACTGGTGGYGGGGTGGGGGTGGGGCTCCTTTTGCCTCTCTTAATTCAAGAGATCACTGCCTTGACATKCGATGTTTGGGACATCATAGGCATGGGAGAGTGGCTAAGGTTGTCAGARGCACCTGGATCCAGCTAGTAAAGCAAAAGAGAGTAATGACTCTTTCTCTAAGGCCAYGTGTGTGTACTGTGTGTTCAGTGCTTTGTGTTTCTGTAGTGAGAGAGAGAGAGAGTGTGTGTGTGTGTGTGAGAGAGAATGGGTGTCCACGTGTCATGTGTGATGGGGACTCTGCGTATACTGAGGGTGGTGTGAATGGTGTCAGTGCTTCTGTCTTCTGTGCCTGTGAGATCCTGCATGTGAGCAGGTTGGGGTCCTGGGCATGTGTGTGTGTGTGAGTGGGGATGGCCCCCCTATGTACGGGTCTGAGTTTCTGTTTATTTCTGGGGCTATTTCTGATAGCTTCTAAGTGCTTGTGTGCCTCGGTGGGTGTATTTTGTTGCTCTGGGTGTGTTGGTGATGTCCTTATCTAAGGATGTAAGAGTCTGTGTGAGGCTGTGTGGGAGCTTGTGTGTTGTGGGGAGCTGTGGGTGGCCCYTGTACACACTGTCTGTGCCTGGGTTGGGGAGTGAGGGACGCAGGCCTTCTCTGCAGAGCCGTCCATCACAGCCAGTCTGCAGACCTGACTCTCATAAACCTTCCAGTGCCCTCTGCCTGGCTCTGCCTGCCCCCTACGGTTCCACTCCCTCTTCCTCTCCTCCTCTTCCAAGGCCACAGCAGCTGTGGGTAGAGCCTGTTACTCAGCCTGTCCCCTCTCTGCTTGTGAGCATCCCCTAGCACCAGTGGGGGC